AATACCGATAAGTGATTAATAAAAGTCAAAAGACCAAAGAGGTCACCTTAAAAAAAAAAAAAAAAAAAAAAAAGTAAAATTGATATCTATTTTAAGGTAATCAGGTATTTGAGTATTCACAGTATTCGCGATATTCACTGAAAAAACTTTTATTTGCCATTTCAACTATTTCGTAATCTTTATCTTTTTTCTTATTTTTATCTTTATATCATTTTAAGCCATGAAGGAATATGAAGATTTAATAGTGATTATCAAACATCCAAAGTTCTGACCTTACTATGCATCTGAAAATGTAAGACACCTTAGATCTCTATGAACAAGAATGCCTCTATTAAATGTAAAAAGTCACGTTATTCCCATTGATGATAGAAAGACATCTTCTACATCAAAACAAGTCAGACCTGCCTATACGATCTCGATAAAAAAACATCTTAAGCATGTGTTGAATAATCCATGGCTAATGGCAAAGATGTATTTTGGCCGTAGTATTGAAACTCAAGAAAAATCTAAATTATGGCATGGTGATATCTGGCAACAATCTCCCTTGTATAGTGATTCAACTATTGTTATTAATAAAAATAAGTTATTCTCTATAGTTATTCTAGTCAGTATTGGCTATTTTGGGTTATATTTAACTTTATATGAGCAAAGTAGTTATAATGTAATAGTAATCTTGTAAGTCATAATAGGTCATAAGAACATCAATAGATCATAACAGGTTATAGGCTATTACTGAATTTTAGCTGATGCTAAAAATTAGATCTATTTATCATGATATTTTTAAAATTATTGAAATATTTTTTTTAATTTTTTTTTATAGTTATGCTAGAATTTAGGACTAGAGTTATTAATAAAAAGTATAATTGGGTTTTAATAGGTTTGATAGATTTAATATAGATTCCAATTCCAATTCTTAGTATCATCCATTACAATAATTTGTTTATCTTTTTTTGATATTTACTATAATTTTTAGTTGAATACACTGTTAGAGAATTTGTAAAGTTTATCTACACCAATAACAAAAATCAACATGAAAGGCGATTCGGATGAATCAAAGCCATTATCTCATTCTTGGCGCCATCTGGTTCTGATCATCCAAATAATCAAATGCACAATGCTTTAAAAATGTTAAGGTTTTTAAGGCATGACGAGTTGGGAGTCCATTGTAGTCAGAATAGAAGTCAGCAAGGACATAAGAAACTTTGAATGATAGAAGAGAATTATCAAATTATTTTTTCCAATCATATATTAAGGCATACTTCAATATGGCTTGAAGATGTTCTGCAGCCTGATTATTATGATTTTCATGTATCTGAAATTCTATATCGAGATACTATTACGAGGCGAATTCAAATTCGACTAGTAAAGTTTCACCATCACCACCCTTCTGAATATATTATTTCACCAAACCTACCGCACTTGCATAATATGAAATCATACAAATTCATAATTGATATTTATAATAATAACTTTGAAACTTATCGCAATACCTATCAATCATTAGGAGGCATCTATATTCAAATAGGCAATATGCCTTTTAATTTAAGAAAACAATTAAAAAACCACTTTATTGTCAGATTTGTACCATTTGGTGGCCACTTTAATGATGCAATGTGTCCTTTACTACAAGAACTCCATCAATTGGAAAAAGGTGTTATTATGGATATGAATGGTGAATCAGTTTGGGTTATCACCTCAGTTGGGCTAGTAACAGCCGATTTACCACAGGTAAAAATGAGTTTAGTTTAGTTTAAACCAACCAAATTATGGTTTTAGTCTAAGCAAGGTTTAAAGTAAAGTTTAGATATATAATTTAAAATTATAGTTTGAGAATTTACGAATGGAATAGTTTAATTTTGTGTATTAAATTCAATTACAGTTGCACTTCCATATAATCACACCATCGGGACCTATAAAAAGAGTTCTTATATAGAAGACACACTTAAAATAGGCTTATATAGAAAATTATTTTTATATATTTAATAGTAGTTCATTCGAAAAATAAGTGTGTTTATAAACCTGATGTGCTTATATAAGAGGTGGTTGTATGAAAGTACGACTATACACTGTGTTTTACTATAACTTAAATTAATCAAAGCAACCTGTATTCTAGGGAAATGAACTTAGTGATGTTAAAAAACAGGGTGCTATCTATGAATGCTAAAATTGTTTTGCTCTGAAGGATCGATTGACTGATACCACCTTTGATAGAATACATTCTGCATATTTTCATCATATCACCAAAGAGCATTTTATTGAATTACAGGTATTAATAAGTCAAAGTGCAACTAAATTAGAGATTAAAGACTTTACAAAGCATAATGGTCTCTGATCAAAACCAGGAATTTTGTCAACTTTATCTCGAGATCATCATTTACAGACTCCTCAAGATGCCTATCATGCAGTTACTGGCAAGATTCAATGATTATTAGAATGCACCCTTAACTTATTAAATGAAAATAGAAAGAATCAATTTTTAAAATACTGGCGATATTTTGAAAAGCCCTTTATTTGGCATCATATGCCTAACCCTATTACTCACCTTAAAAGTTTTATGTTTTCAGACGCATTACAATTGTCTATGATAATGCCATTTATTTTAAGACATTTTTTAACACCAGATTGTATTATTTTAAATGAGCTTACAGCTTTATGTGATCGATTGTCATCATCATCTAACGATCAAAGACGATCTACCAAACAAGTAATTAATAATATCATCTTATGCTGAGTAACTGTAGTAGATGCTGTGGTATATTGTTTTAAAATAAAGCTGACCCAAAGTGATCTGAATCATCTTCAAGGTGTATTTTTAGAAGAGCATCGCATATTAACAGAAGTATTGTTTTATTTTTAATACATGATATTTATATAATAAATAGTGAAATTCTATTTTAACCTGGGTTGGAGTCATCTGTTATACAATTTTTATTAATTATATAATTTGACCACTAACTTATATAATATTGGTAACTCCTACCCAGTAAAAGTAGAATTTCCCTAATAAATATTTAACTTTTTTTTAAATATTTTTTAATGCTCTTTTATAACAGTTATTTCCCAATGATTTTAAAAACCTACCAAATCTTCATATCAATTTTCATTTAATGCAAAATTGCAAAAATTATGCAACATTAGTCAATACAAATTGTGATGTTAAAGAAATAGTACACAGACTTTCCAAACAAGCCATCCTCAAAACCAATCAAAAAAATCTTGAATTGGATTTAATACGCTGTGCCAATGTTTTACAAGCCATTCGGTATTTAATGGATAGTGAAATTAATGATAGATTTAGTGAAAGTAATGTTGGAGACGGCTTGAGATGTATTATTACAGATCAACATCTTCAACCACTTCTTACAGGATGGTATATAACTGAAGATTTATACCCTGAAAATGTAACTGAAGAAGGTAGCTTCTCATTAATTGTATTTATTTATTTATTTATTTTTATATTAAATTAATAAATTTTATTTTTATTATGTTTTTTAAATTACTTTTTTATATTTAATATTTCCTAGAGATGGGTATAATTTCAGAAGACTCTAGAATTATCTACATTCGGGTTCAATAACGGTTAACTAATGGCAAAATTCAATCATCACAATTAACAAGTCACCTTGATAATAATACTGCTTTAAAGGATGGTCTTTTTGCAGCATATAATGAATATATAAAACAACATAGATACATAAAAACACGGTTTATAAAACTTTATTAGTATATTCGATATACGCTTTTGGATGACAATGGAGAATTCTATGCACATATCAAGCTTCATATTGGTGACGTTGTACTTACAAAAGAAGAAGATAACAGACTACATTCTCTCTTCAACTCTTCACTTTCCTTAAAAAATTTTTTTATGATTTCTATCCTGGTAAAGAAATTAAACCAGCTACTCCTACCTAACCTATACTCAAGGCCTTATTCTATTATATTATTCACATCATGGCTAAACAACGACCAGAATTTTTAACTGACCTCATTTATAGTAATAACCCTAATATTGACAAAAGTGCTACTATTCTATTTAATCTACTTGAATCTACCCTCAAAAATTTATTGCTCAAATTTACAACCATCCTCTTTACAAAACTCAACTATCTTGAAATCTTTGCTTCACCAGTTACTATTCCCTCATATACTGCTCACAATCATCTTCAACTCTGTCTTAACCTTGCACGACTTCACCTTTTTCTATCTAATAACTATCAATCAATCGATTACCAAAAATTTGCTGAAGATTTAAAGCTTAGACCTAAAAGATTCAA